GGACCACCCTATGGCCTGACCTCCAGAAGTGGGTGACACGGCATCTACGGTCGACTTGGGTAGAGTGGAACCTGTCCTAAAATAATGTCGCACTGGGACTTCTTGGCCGACCCGCGAGTTGTTGTTTGGTCGGTCCCGTACAAAATTTTAAAAATGGGGCACAAATGGTTGGGTCACCCGCCGCAACGGAAACACACGCGTGGACGTCGTGGGGGTGCGCCGTTGGTGACGGGGGTGGTCTGGAAGAGGCGTTGCTTCCACCATAGCCTTCGTGTCGCCGCAGAAGACGAAGGTAGACATGGACAGCTTTCTGAGAGGGGAGCGGGGTGCAAAGGCGCACACACAGACAACCATGTTGTTCGCGCCTAAAGAGATGACACTGGCCGAAGTGGTGTTGATGTGCGTGGCTACCGTGCGATGGCTGAGGATGAGGCAATACGTGACATTCATGGTTGCGCTTCTCATCCTTCACGTGGCAACGAACATTGTTGTCGTGTACACGACATCCGCAACAACGTTCATTTTGGCGGTGGAGGAGGCACGCAGGCAAGGTCACGGGAGAGGTCAGGATTTGAGAATCCACAAACGGCGCCGTATTTGGGTGCGTCCATGTGTGGGGGGGACATGGGAGAAGCTGTTGATGGAGGGTGTGGAGCACGACGACAAGTTTCGATCATACACGAGGCTCACGAAACCAACGTTCGTCCGCATTTTGGTCGGCATCGCACCGCACATCCAAAGGCAAGTCACCCCATGGCGTGCGCCATTGGCAGCGAACTTGAAGTTCGCATTCGCTCTGTACAGATGGGCGACTAGTGAATATTACCATCGGTGCGGGAACGACTTTGGCGTTGGTATACACAGCGCTGTCCGATGCGTGGATGATGTTTCCAAAGCCCTCGTGCACGGGTACGGGGACAAAGTGCACTGGCCCAGCGGGGCACGTCTGCAAGCAACGGTCAACTACTTCGAGGCGAGAGGATTCCCCGGTTGTGTCGGGCTTATTGATTGCACCTATGTGTATATGAACAAGCCACGAGGAGGGGAGGCGGAGTCGTACTACGATAGAACGACGCAATACTCAATCGTCGCTCAAGTCGTGTGCGATGAAAATCTGTGAATTGTTGATGTATAAGTGGGGGCTCCTGGTTCCGTGCACGACTCGGGCGTCTGGCGGCTTTGAGACACGAGTATTCGTGCGGAGGAGGGGAGGGAGTCGTTCGGCAAACGAACGAACGTCCTGTCTGATGGGACAGTGATCGGGAGGTATGTCTTGGCGACGTTGGATTTCCTTTGTTGCCATGGCTGATAACCCCTTTCGGGGGCAATGCAAGCAATGCAGCGGAATTTGCATTCGACACGAAGTTGTCGGCTCTGCGAGCAAGCATCGAAAGATGCTTCGGGAGATTGAAAGGCATGTGGAATTGTTTCGGGCAGCAACACATCCCTAACATGAAACATATGCAAACAGTTTCTTGCCTGCCACATACTTCACAATATCATTATTAACGAGGGCCTTCCTATCGACGAGGGCGTGCTTCTTCATGAGCGAGGGGAGCCTGGGGAGGGGCAGCATGCGCGGGACCACCGACCGAGAGAAGAAGCAGCGGGAGGCAATGATGGCGATGCAGAAGACGAAGGGGGGGACAACCCCTACCTCTCCCATCGCCAGCATTTCGAAGAGGGCGAAGAGATTCACTTTGCCTTGATCCGCCATGTGTCGCACGTCAACTGTGTTTTTGGCGGTGGGTCGAATGGCCTCGCGCGATAGATGTATGTCTATATAGATAGAYATCACACTAACCGATGAAGGTGCTGACATGCATAGACATGTGCATGTAGASATGTGCGTRGAGAGAGAGAGAGAGAGAGAGAGAGAGAGAGAGAGAGAGAGAGAGAGAGAGAGAGAGAGAGAGAGAGAGAGAGARAGAGATTAAAAAAGAAATTATTGTCCATGCGCTTTGCTTTTCCGTGTTCGGGTCACTGTCCGTCCTTTTTCTCTCTGTCGCTGCTTGTTTTTTTGTCACACACGCTGCTGCTTGTTTTCGTGTCACACATGCTACATCCAAAATTGATGGATGACCCCTCCCCCACCAATCAATCAATCAATCAATCAATCAATCAATCAATCAATCATGCATGCGACCCGGTCATCGATGACCCCGAACACAACCCCTTCAACATCTATGCTCCTCATCGGTCCCGCTCTTTTGTCGATCGTTTAAGTTGGATCGGGACTATCCCACTCCATCGTACACACTCTCGTTTATTCTATCACGCCGAATGTCTTCTCAGCCAGCCAGCTCTCCAGTCGTCGACTTGTATACAGCATCAGCCGCTCCTTCCTTCCTTGCATTCCATAACGGCAGAAACGAGGCTTCGCAGAGCATGACCCCTTACCGATTCCCAGTTTGTGCCTCTCATGTACCAACCCGCATGATGTGCAATCGCCTGCAAGCAGACATGGCTCCCCCGCCATTCTTCAGCGATTACTTCAATCTTCGCGATGACGAAGTTCCCTTCCACCACCGACACCAACCACCACTGCCTGCCATCGTGCTCAGGACCCGCGCTGTGAACTGCGAGCATGTCCCCAACATCCACCATGCACACCTACGTGACACCCGCGGCCGCGGCCGTGGGCAATCTGGTTGCCGTGGCTGCTGCAAGGAGGCCTAGTTTGAGGCCCGTCTTTTTGGATATTTGTTTGGGGTTAAACAAATACGTGAAAAATAAAAATAAAAATATGGGGTTGTAGGGTTTGCGAAACCCTACAAACCCATTATTGTTTTCCCGAATTTGACTTCATTTACAAATTTTAAAAATTGGAAAACGAACAACTGTTAAAAGAAAAAAATAAAAATAAATAAAAGAAAAGCAGAAATTTTTTTTCCCATTTTTTTCATGACTGATATGGAGTAAGAGTCCTAAAAGTTTTGCACAGGTTTTTTTTTTTTTTCTTCTTCATCTTCTTCTTTTTCTTCTTTGCTGTTTTTTTTTTTCCTTCTTCTTTTCTTCTTCACTGTTTTCTTCTTCTTCTTCTTCTTCTTCTTCTTCTTCTTCTGCTTCTGCTTCTGCTTCTTCTACTTCTCCTCCTCCTCCTTTTTCTTCGGGCAATTCCGCGGCGGTGGTCAGAACATGGAAATATACACTGCCGCACTCTTTTTT